CCCCCCCCCCACTGGAGGAGTAGTATTCCTTCATCTAGCAAGTTCAATATTTTTAACTATGTGAATAACAGAGGAGGATAGGAGTTAAGGGAAACTAGCCTGATGAGCCAAATCAACATTGGATATCAGTAGAAGATTCTTCACTGCCAGGTCACCTTTATCTCCTCACCTTGTTCTCTTCATGTTATTGTTATCCTGGGAGAAGATTCATCTAGCTTTCACACTCCTCCAGGATATAGCATCTTGGGGCCAAGTTCCAAGGCTATAAGACTTCTCTTTCAAATTTAAATTAAGGGCAATTTTTTACATAAGCTCCTGCTTTTACATATTCTTATCTTATTTGAGCTTGATTGCTATATGGTGCTTTGGGTTTTATTGTCCACATTCTGTAGTTGTTAAAACCAAGGCTGTGGAAAACTGTGACTTAAGTTCAAAAAGGCAAGGCCAAACAATTAAAATGTTAAGAAAGGTCCTTTTGCAGAAGTTTTCAAACAAATGTATCATTTGGTAGAGTCAAATGGGTACTATTAAAATTGTAAAGCTCATGGAAACAAGATAAAAGCAAGAAATAGCTGTTTTAACTCAATGTGACAGTCCATATGTAACAAAATACTATGGGTCCTATTTAAAGGTAATGTGTGTGTTATATTGCTAAGAGTTTATGTAAGACATAAGTTATTTTCATTATAGCTATTTTTCTTTGGAAAGGCAATGTCTTAAATCAGGGATTTGGCAGCCTTCAGCTGCCAGGCAGAATCCAGTCCATCTAACAGTGCCAAAAGAACTGTAGTTAGATTTAGCAGCTGTATCCTGAATCCACTGCAGAGCTCAGCTGCACCGTTTTTCTACCTAAACATATAGTCTGAAAGATCAGAAGTGCAGCTGATCCCAGACACATTCTTTGTCAGCAAAGTACCATACTCATGAGCTTAAAAGCATTGATCTCAGTGTCCCAGGTTACCCCACCACCAAACCAAGTAGTCCTGCTGTTAGTTTTTTTTCACATAGACTAAGCTCCTTGAAGGAAGGAGCTTGCCTACATCACCTCTCCCTCAGTGCTCTAGTGCACTATAGGTGGTCAATAAATGTTTTATGAAATTATAAAACCAGTAAGACAGACAGGTGTTCACTTTATAAAAATCCTAATGCTGCCGTTCCCTGCTGGTCTTTTTCATTTATAGCATTTAGGTGGCATGGGGAATGCATTTTCTCTCCCGATATTCCTTCATCCTCTGCAGCACTAAATAGTTTTTGCTTGTTTGCTTTGCTTTCTGTTTTTGTTTATAATAGCTATTTCTAAACTTACTTCCCAGGAAAATGTATGCCACAGAGAGATGGTCCATTGTGAACGAGGACTGAAGAGCCTTGAGTCTAGGACTAAATCCTCTAGGAATAAGAATAAAATGAAAAAGGTATTTGTGGCCAATGCCTGAGTTTCCTCTCCACTAGATTCCAAAGCTTACCTATACATGTCCTGCTTCATTCTTAGGCAAATCAGAGAACTGTTCATATTGAGATCCCAAAACTTCTCAGGTATCTTCTCTTTGAGGCAATTATTCCTGTTGTCCTTCCAAAATTTTGGGTGATCCCTCACTCACACCTCTATAGTCAACCCTCTGCCTTTCCTTTGTCTTCTCCACTCTCTCATTGTATCTACCAACTAATTGTACCCCAAGTAACTAAAGTTCTACCCAGCCCTCTTCCTTATTCCTATATGAGTGTATGAGAGGGATGTAATGTGGCTTCGTCCTCTGGTAGTGCTTACATTTCTAGGCTGAGAGACACACTTGCAAGCAATAATTATGAGGCAATGTGATGTATGCTCTGACATCAGCATGTACCAGATATCAGAGAGCCCAGAGAAGGGAAGGTATTTATTCTACTTCTGAGGGTCAAGGGAAGTCAGAAGCTTGCTTTGATTGATTGATTCTTGAAGGATGAGGATAAATTTGCAGTATGGGTATTTTAGATAGACTTTAAGAGCAGAATGAGAAATGGCATGGACCCCAGAGTATCTGGTAAACTTGGGAGACCTAGAGTTATCAGGGATAGCTAAACAGGCTGGCTAGAGTAATTGGGAAGGAGAGATGTGAGATGACTCTAGAAGGCAGCACAGACTGGAGTGCAAGGGTCTCATACCATACTGAGCATTCAAGGGTTTCTGCTGGCAGCATTTGGGAACCACGAGCTAGCCACAGCAGGAGAAAAGCAGGAGCAGACTGATGTTTTAGAAAAATGCCAAAGTGGAGAGTAGATTGGAGAGAACTTGCCTGGGGCAGGGAGATCTGTCAGGAGACCACTGCAATCATGTAAGTGAGAGAGAGCAAGAGCCTTAAAAGAACACAATCAGGGAGAATGAAGAGATGATGATGAATTGAAGTGGCTTAAGATTTGGACTCAAGTCATGAATCTGATCATATCACATTTTTCAGCTTAAAATTCTCTCATGACTCTCCAAAATCCACCTCATTAAACAAGGGCTTTCACATTCCAACTTGGCCTTCTTCTTCAACCTTATCTTTTATGCCTTCTGTCAGCCTAAGCTCTGCTCCCAGTGACCCCACACTTCTTGCTGGTTCCCAAACAAGCCTTACTCCACATTTTCATGGCTTTGCATGAGCTATTCCCATCACATGCAATACCCTCTTCCCAACCTCCTCCCTCTAGGAACTCTTACTTATCTTTCAAGACATAACTATGTCTTGATATTAGAAAATAATGCATAGCAGTGTTACAAAATTGAATGTAGAGATCACCCTGTAGAGGATCTACAATACTCATCTGTACTGCCAAACACAGGATTTCATCCTATTGTGTATTGTTCTCTAAATGTGTCTCATTAGGAGACCCAATGATTTACGTTACAGAAGTATACCATAAACAAGACAAGGCAACTATTCCTAAAACACCTTGACTCACAGAATAGGACTTCACTATATCTGCACTTCTGCACTTAGCTACCTCAAGACCTTCCTCCACATATATAATCAGAATCATTTGCAACCCTTTCACAGTGCATTTGTTTCTCTTAGCGTGTTTTAAGGTCATAAAAGTTAGCATGAAACTCTAGCCATGATGGCACAAGCAGGAGGGCACTGGTGCACAGTGTGGCTGAGGCTGCTTGGGAAGCCCTGGTTTGGATCCCAGCCCAACCTAAACAGATCAGACATGGTGGAAAGATAGTACTAGCTAATTTGGGAGGCCATGGCAAAGGAATCACATCATAACCAGACCTTGTTGAAAGAAAACACACACACAC